TTCTTGATAGTAGTTCTTTATTATTATTATATATTATTCTCTTCTTTTTTACGTAATAATTCATGCAGGAATTTGCTACCACTCGAATAATTAACGAAGCTGTAACGGTACGTGATGTGGTGGCGTCACGGTGACGTGATAGAAGACAAATGCTTTCTGGTCATATCCTATCGCACCATATCAGTATCTAGCGGCGATATCGATGTACATGTCCATCCAAATATTGAATCTTAGTCGTCACGCTACCAACTTTTGGGCAGTTACGCCAAGCTTTCACGTAACGTTACGTTAAGAATAATGTATATGTTCTACGTCTTGAAGCAGACACTTGATCGATACTGATACAGTGTACATATATTTTTTTCCTTCATTAAAAACACCAACGTTGCGTGATGGTAACATTCTTGGTGGTCCAAAACAGAAACAATAATTACAGTCAAGGTGAGAATAGAAAGTTGGTCACGTGTGACGGGGGCCGAGTTACGCTAGACTCACGTATGCGGACTTTGCAACTTGACCACGTAATTCTTGCTAATGACCTTTTGTTTTCTTTTCATATACTCGATTCCAAAGAGAATAATTCCGGGAAGGAAACTGGATCGATTCCTCCCGTCTGTGTGTCTGTTCTAATTACGTAAACTCTGTTATGACACGGTATCGAGCAAAGTTGAAAGATTATTATTATTATTAAATTTTTAAAAAGGCCATACTTTTCCTTTGCCCAATTTATTTTACAACTTGGCGATTCGAACGTGTAGTCATGTGTTGTGTGTGATGACACGAACTGAGTAGTGTTTTATGCGTGTTTTTTTACCCAATGAGGAGTTCGAGATTCATATTTTCACCCCCTCCCACATAGTAAAATTTTATGAAATTTTTCGATTTAAAAGGCAAATTTAGGGCTTAAAAGTCTTGATACTTTGAATCACGAGCGGATTTTCAGGCCAAGATATAGATTCGAAATACCTTTTTCTTTGAGCTTAAAAGCGGATACTTAGGCTCAAAATTCGCATAATTAAGATGTATACCTTACAAAAAAAGAAACTATTTCCGGTCAGCCATTATGCAAATCACGTGATTCTCCAAACACACTTCCTCCTTCATTGTACACGTGATCAAAACGTATAAAATCATCCCCGTGTCACGTAACACACACAAAAAAAATCTACAATTTTTGTGACATCGCGGTCATCATTTCGCACGTAAAATCCATACAATAAAAATTGTAATATGGGGTCGAAAAACTCGTGAGATTTCAGTTCTATAGATTATTTAGAATCTATAACATAGACCTCCCTATACAGGTCACGTAATCCCGGGTTACTACAAGAATCAATTTTTTCCCCCTCTTTCTTTTTTTTTCTTGTTTTCTTCTGGTCGTTGATCGAAAAGGTGATTCAAAGTGACTGGAAAAGAACGAAGAGTAAAATTCATGGTAGCGTATAGCATCGGTAATGGTAAAAGAAGACATGGAAAGTGCCATACATCATAGCAAATTACAGAAGCTGAACACAAAAAGTCGGTGTCTGAAGTAACAAATGACTTGTCCAATCACTTATACCCACCCTTTTTTCTTTTTCTTTTTTAACACTTTCCCCTTCTTCTTGTCTTCCTGCGGTTTTCTAATTACGTCGTCTTGTCGCATGTCCACTTTCTCTACTACTACTTTTTTTTTCTTTTTTCTTTCCTGCCTTCTTCTTCTTCTTCTTCTTTGCAATGGTTCAATCGATGATGCAACAAGTTCTTCCAGTTTAATTGATGACACAAATGATTAAATGGAAACGGAGAAGCCGCCTTATGATTCATTAAATTGTTAAATTCTCCCCGGTCACGCATCCGTGTACCTGGAATGATTTTTGCAGACTTTTGCTCTCTCGCTGCCCCCTTTTCAAATTCCGAACCCCACACTGAGGATCCAGTAGAGTGGATTCAAATCCGGAAGCGTTTAATAGCTGCCATACTTAGTGATTTTTTTTCAGAATTTTTGCACTTCCCTTTGCAAATTTCATTTCCCCATTGAGATTCGGTGAAAGGGGATTCAAATTCAAAGCGTCTAACAGTTGCCATATTGAAACGAGGTGCTCTCTGGTGTTTTTATTAATGAAGAGGGTGCTTCACGCTGCTCTGATTGAAGGACATTTATTGAAATAAATTACTTATCGAGTTATTTTGTATCGTTCTCAATCATTTTGGATTTGCGGGAAGATAATTACCAATTAAATTTGCAAAATAAACCTTTATTGGTGTTAACAAACCAAATGTATGATGTTTACGCTAATTCACTAGGGGTGATTTTAATCGATAGGAGAGCTTTGAAGACGTTTCATTAATTCCGTTAATAAATAATATCCAAAATGTAAGTTTTAATGCGTACTTTATTCATTCAAGAAACCGAAATCAGGACCAAAATTTAAAAAAAAGCCACCAAAAACCGTGGGTTCGAATCCTAAGTGAACCAAATATGTTTGGCTTACTGAGCAAACCAAGATCTAATTTATCATAGATAAATTAGATCTTGGTTTAGTATATACAAGATCATATATAAGCTTAACACGCTACACTTTAGTACGGCCTGAAGATACGAGTTTACTGCTGAGGGCCTCATGCTTTTAAATTTATTACACTTGATGGAAGAAAAAAGGCCTCTTATTGTTATAGTTTAGGGCCCCAAACTACAAGGTTACAGTTAGGATATCATGTTTTTAAATTTATTATTTATCCTCTTATTTTTCACAGGCAGAAAAGTCAAAAATAAAAATAAAATTTAGTTGCTATTATTTGACGGAGGAGGAAAGGCTTCTTATTGTTACAGTTTAGGCCCACAATTTAAATAACTCCTGCTCCGAACCCACATCTTTTAGTGGGCCTACCACAAAGAGTTCTATTATACAGTAATACTTGTATAATTAAACTCATCTCGCTTTAGTGGTTCGGATTTTATTCACGATCATTTTCCCTTCTTAGACCTTAAATTTTTTTAATAAAGTAAATAATAAAGCTAAAAATTCACACGTATTTTACTTAAAGATTCTATCAACAATTTAAAAAATACATTTTTATTATTTATTCATTGAATTCCAGTCGAACCTCGATATAGCGTCTCCGAAACTGGCGCTAAACCGAAGAGCCTCAAATAGTAAGAATTATGTAAAACAATGAGGCCTACAAACGAGTATGATGAGTTTTCATTTCTAATCTACGGGGGGTGGCGCTATATAGGAGGAGATGCTACATCGAGATTTTCGACAGTACCGTATTTATTGCAATTATACGATTGAGTATTAAAATTTGTACTCATTTCGTCCGTCTGTTCGCTTGTCTGTCCTCGAGTTTTCCCGGAAACAAAAAATCTCCGAGATTCGTTAAGGTTGAAGGTCAATCACCCCGGCAAATTACTAAATTTATTTACGTAAAATTTTAAGAGAAACCCTTCAATTTATTGCAATAGATGCAATTTTTTTTTTACAGGATAAAAGGAAAGTAAATCTAATAATCTTTTGTATATTTTAACTTTTAAAAAACGTTTAAATGATCTCGCCATTATTGTCTTGGGTAAAGAATTTCGAATGTAGTGACTAGCAATCCGGAAAAAAGCACGTGAACCACAAAATTCTTCTCGACAAATCTTCCAATTGATTCGTAGTTTGTTTTTTCCCCCTTCCTTCTCTTCCCTTCCCTTCCCTCCCTCCTCCTCCTTCTTTTCTTCGGAGTAAAGAGATTCTTCGAGTCACGTGACCGAACGGTTGAGTTGAATTGTTTTGTGTCTTTCATCTGACGTCATGTAATAGCGAAAGGAATTCAAATTTGTTCGTATGTCAATCGCGTTTTGTCACAGTTCATTAACGAAATTGCCATCCTGTCACCAAACGAAACGATTCGGTAATTCGTAGAGTGATGAAGGTGCTCCGGTGGCAGAAAGAAATGCTATTATAAGTTCTTCAGATTTACTATTTATGGATTGGACGGAGCCATTTCTATCGATTGGCCCAAATAGTTTGGGAAGGAGCCAGATGCAGTTAGATAGCAAAGGATGGTATCTTCATGGCTTTTCGGAATTTATTTTAAATTATGCGATTAGATACTTGTGAGTGCTCGACGGAAGCGTGATACTTCACGAAACGTGTAAAATCACGTCGCGAACTGATAAACATTTTCGGGGCGGAGCAATTTCAATCGAATAATTTAGGAAGGAGCCAGTTGTAATTCGATAGCAAAGGATGGTATCTTCACATATTTTACAGAATATATCTACCTGTGAATATTAAATTCCACAATTACAAACTCGCAAACTGTTGGAAAGAAGAGTGACAGATCACGAAACGTGCTCAAATCACGTCACGAACCAGGAAACGACGGAGTTCAAAGTTGAAGAACGGTTGCAAAGAGCTTAAACGTCATCAAAGTCCGTTCGGATCGCGGGTTCAAAGAGCGAATCAATTACAAGCAGAGTCGGTGATGTTATTGGGTTTCAACCCGATACACGTGACTGGCCGAAAACATTTTAAAAATGGCAGCCGGGGTGAGATCACGTGATGAGGCAAAGAAGCTAAACGGAATTAGCGATTCATTTACATGACAAAAAAAAATAGTTTCCTGGATTACCAGTTACGAATAAAAAGGTGCAGCTTGAGTTAATCGGCAAGAAAGTAGAAGAAGGGAGATAAGTAGTAAATTAGTGAAGCGAGTTTTTCGAGTAACGGGAGCCGTTTTGAGAGTAAAAATCACGTGTCATTTTGGAAACTGGTAGCAAAATCCGTGCCGCATGCACCCCCTTCAATCACCAAGATTCGAAGGAGGACGTCTTTTCAATCAACATTATGACAGTTGAGCTGGAGCCAGAGAGAATAGGACTATTATCCCAGTCCCGAAGCTATTTTGGTCCATTTTCCCCTGACAATGAGCGGAGGTGACAAAAGCGTCACACATTTTCCCATACACCAAGCGGAGAGAGGGGTCGCTCTCTCTCTCTCTCTCGTCCTTTCCTGGCTCCGTTCACCCCCGCGCGGAGAATGGAACGATCCGACGGTTGCTAGACAACTCGTACCGACTAGTCGCCAGTTGCCGAAGCGATGAGTGGAGGAGCCACGACGGGAACCGACAACTTAGCCTTTATTGCACGTTCAGGTGTGTTTGGTTAGACAAATGGAAAGGTGACACAAGAAAAAAGATGTCTCCTCATGCCATCTTTATTTTAGCACTGTTAACATGTAGCGTCACCGGACAGGATTTATTAAAAAGTGCACAAACTTCGAAAACACCAGAAGGTAAGTGAGAAAAATTAAACATATAATTAATGTAAGGAGCGCATGGAGTTCTTTGCTCATGGTCGCTCCGAACGCGACTTTCTTTGTGTAGGAGCGTGTTTAATGCCTAGTTTTAATGCTAAACAGTAAAGGATTATCGTCCCGGGTTGATAGAACAATAGAAGAAAAGAGAGAGTTAGATAATCGATGGAAAGAATTATGATTTATCTGCAATCAACTCGTTACGAAGGCAGATGAATGCCAGAAGCAATGGTAAAAGAATCCTTCCAATTCACCAATGGCAATCCTTAACGCTTGAAAAAATTCTCGGGCCATCCTTAAGCAACTTTTATCTCATCTTACGGCGTAGATAACAAAAGAAAGGCATTAAAATTAACTCGGCAATACGCGCCAGTAACTCTGCACAATCTTTCTAAACGATTGCAAAGCGACTGGAAATTTGCATAGGAAGGAAAGGTTCGAGCTGCAAAAGAATGAGTTTAGGAACCGTTTCGGGGGCCTCCAACCTCCCTACAGATTAAGAAAACACACGCAGTTATTATTTTCGTAGCGGGTCCTCCCCCTAATAAGATTTTTCCCAGTGTGGGCACAGAAGCGGTGCCCCCGGTCATGGCAGTCTATATGGAAATGAGTGGGAGTATCGCATTCAGAACCCAAACCAGTCTTTGCCCCGTCGTGTTTATCTAGCACTGAGTCACAGGGCACTTTAATTGTTTCCCTCACAGGTCACGGACCCTGTTTTCTAAAGCCCCAAGGGACTGAACTGTCAGGGCTCGTTCCGAGGTTAGCTACAGACGGGTTATTCTATGCTTTATTTAAATCTGCCAGTAGCACAAAAAGACGCAATTCTGGTTTAGTTTTTTTCTTTCCCCGTGTTTTTCCGAATCCTTCTTCTTCGGAAAAAGTTTTCTTGAAATTTATTTTCTCGTTAGTGATGATGCGCGCGCGCGCGCGCCCTTTTCTTGCTTCTGCTTTTCTTCACTTTGCAAACAGCTGGGTTTCCTTGGATGCTGCAAAAGATAATTTTATTTGTTTTAATATTTTTCGCTCATTGATTTTCCAGTTAAAGTGAGACAATTAAGGAGATTAGGCACGGAAAAATCAGCGGAGAATGGACAAAATATGCGGAAAAATCTTTGAAAAAACTGAAAAAGAAGTTTGTTTTACGCAACTTATATTCAATTAACTTCCACTCCCCAATTCTCTATTTATAAATTAACATTGCACAGAAAAACTCGATCATTAAGATTAACCATTCACTCTTTCGTTTTACCTTAATAATATATATATAAAAATCGTTACAGCAATTGTCTCGTCCGTCATCGCCACCGCATTTTTTCCATTGCAACTTTTATTTTTATAGATGTCTAATTAACTTTTACAGTATTAATCCATCAAGCGAAGCGAAAAGTTAACCACAGAATAAGAGAATCAACAAACCAAAGCAAAGTTTTCTTCCAAGCGGAAAAAAGGATATTGTTTTAGTGCAAGGACAATAAACCACTAACAGCATTTAACCAATTGATATTGGTGGATCCTACCTTCAAAAAGTTAGGAAATCTCGGTTTTTTTTAGTAGGAAATCTCCGAGAATTTATCGATAAGGATCCTTATACTTGTACATGTATACAAAGATAATTTTTATTGATTTTACTGTCCTTACAAAGCAGGAAATGATGTAACAGGAAATTGTCATTTTTTAAAAAGATTTATAGTGGTCGAACCACCTTGTACTTTCCTTAAAAAGATTGGAAACGGCCTTATTTATACCAAGACTCACTCCAATTTAAATTTAATTTACTGTTACACTATACTGTTACCTACGTAACGCATTCGTAAATACTTAATTTAATGATTAAGTAGGGGAATGGTAAACGTTCTATGCATGTTAAACCGAAGTTTGTAACGTTTTAACGTGTTTTTCATCACTTCCTTCGCGATTTAATTTTCTTCAGTTTAAATTAATACAAAAGCGAGTGTGTAAAGTGTCCTCCCACGTTAACAAAATCATTAATTCTTCGAATGAAAAGGGTGTAGAGTGCTAAATATAAATGACAAAAGCACTCATTGTGTTATAAGAGATAAAGAGATTTTGGTTATAACAGAGTTATTTTAGTCTGACAAATGCTCTCTTTTATCAGTCAAGCTTATTTCTTTCTAACTGAAGACGTCAACACCATCTTCTAAGCAAATTGAAGGTATCAGTTGGCCCCAGTCCAATTGTATAGCTTGTATACATAACGAAATGAACTGGAGTTTAGGAATGCGAGAATTTCGATTTGTTCGCTTTAATTTGATTAATTCTGTTACTAACTCGTTGCTAAATGTGTTAAGTAGTAGATAATTATCAAAAAAATAAGATAAATTAAATGGGGTATCACCGAAGGCCTGCTCTGTACAGGGACCTTCAGAATAGTTACAATGATTTTTGTAAGCGCTCGAATTTTAATTTTATAATAATAATAATAATTTGTCTATAACTTTTAAAATTATCTCAGATGATTGGGATGATGATGATTGTATATAAATTTCTTAAGGGGAATTGTACAGTTTGTTTCCAAAGCGTATAGTCAGTCACCCCAGCAGGGTTGGACTTGGCCTTAAGCTATAAGATATAACAGGCCCTTTCTTTTCGCCAAGTAATCGTACTTGTAAAAATGCGAAGCCCGAAGCTATAGACCAATAACCGAGGCCCTAGTTGTAGCTTAAGAGCAAATTTGGCTCTGAATCCTGGTGTTAGATAAATACTAGAGAACATGGTTTATATCATAAGAATTCAAGTATATAACTTGGAATTTTAGCATTTGAATGTTATTTATATAAAATCGAAGATATTTTTTGATTAAATAAACAGCTATTTTAATTAAAAACACAAAATCATAAATAAAAACAACTATTAAATCAAAGAAATTCATTTTTTACGATTTGATTTATTACATTAAAAAATCAAATAAAATCCATTAAAAATAGTAAAAATTATAAAATAAAAGTGTAAATAATTCTTATTTGATAAGGAGATAAACTCAAAGCTGTAGATGCTTAAAAAATTTCATTAGAAATATTTTAAAACAGATCTTAACAAAATAGTTGAAGAAAATCTTTGCTTATCCTTCCGAAGTAGGGGAAGATGACAAGTAGAGATTGATTANAAAAAAAAAAAAAAAAAAAAAAAAAAAAAAAAAAGAGGAAACAACTATTCAAATTTCTAACAACTCTCCAAGGAACGATAGTATTGGTGGAAGCACAGCGTTTTGATGGATGGAAGATTTAAAGAAATCAGCTGCGGGCCAAAATGGCAGAATTTTATTATTCCAATCACATTATATCATAGACACTGTCAAATTTTTGTATGGGAGATGATAATCTTTCATACATTTTTCTTTTATTATTATTATTATTATTATCATTATGCAAGTGGACCAAAGATGGAGATAGAGGAGGATCAACTCATCTTTATATAAAAGCAGCTAATTAAAGAAGCGATTTCGTATAAAATAAATGCAAATTTTAAGAAGAGGAATGTATATTATTATTATTTTTTTGAAGAAATAACATAAATAGATTCGAATAAACACGAGAAGAGGGGGGAAGATGGTTGATAACCCATCACCCTCTTTTAGTTTGAGATGCTCGATAAAATTCGAAAGATGGAGAAATTATATGTGTATAATAAAGTTGCTTTTAAGAAAATAAATTGCACATTAGTCAAAAGACGATATAATCGCTTAAATAAATCTAAAACAACGAAACATTACGAGTGAATCATGTTTGTAAATCACGACAAGTGATAGCAGAAAAGATGTTGCTGCTACACACTTTACAAATGTTAAGGAGGAGGAAGAAGAAGAAGGGGCATAAAGTGATGAATAAACTTTACAAATGTTGTGTAAGAAGAAGAAGAAAAGGGGGCATAAAGTGATGAATAAACTTCAACATTATTGATGTTAAATTCATGTATTTTAATCTACTTCATGAATATCTAATTATTTTCTCTGGGAATTTGTTTTCGTGGTTTCTTTACGATCAATAAACATGTATATATAGAATTTAAGCTGTATCTACACGTTAATGAGAGCCTTCTACTGCTTATGAGGCCTTTTAACGAACGTGATAACATCTCGTTGAAAGCAAATGTTGAGAACTTTAAACACGAACTTACTTTTTCCACGTCATGCGAATTTTGTTTCACATGGCTTCTTTGATAAATTGAGTAATTAGAAGTTTAAAAAAAAATAAATAATATTAAATATATATATTTACGTCGAACCTCCGATAACGGCCACTTCTCGACAGCGACCACCTCTAAACGGCGGCCATTTTTTTTCATGAACTTTTTCGAACGAAAATGTATACGTTATAATCTCCGAACAGCGGCCATTTTTATGTTCCCATCAGTGGTCGTCGTTCGAAGGGTTTACTGTATAAACCTTTAACTCAAACTGCTACGATTAAATGATAATAAAGTCGAACCTCTGAATAACGGCCACCTCTAAACGGCGACCAGTTTTTACGAACCTTAAACAAAAGTGCATACAAATTAACCTCCAAACAACGGCCATTTCCAACAACGTCTATTATTATTATTATTTTTTTATGTTGCGGTCAGTGGTCGTTCTTCAGAGGTTTGACTGTATTTTTGTCCCTTAATTAATAAAAATTTTTAATTAAAATTTAAAATTAATTCCAATTAAATAATCATTTAAACTTACAAATAAATATCAACAAACAAAATTAATTAATTGCAATTTAATATAATTAATTAAAAATCATTATAAAAATTGAAATAACTGCAATTTAATTAATTTATGAATTAAATTTATAAATAAATACATATGATTAATTAATTAATTTTAAATTACAATTAAACCAAAATATAGAATAAAATTAATATATTTTAATTTATGTTTTATCACTAAATCAGCCATTAAAATCCATGGAAATTAATAATTAAAATACATGAAACCTTAAAGTATGACCGTTGTTTGGAGGTTATTTTGTATA